GCAGGAATGAAAGGAAACTTCCTTAGTCTTATACAAACGAAGAGCGAAGAAGAGCGGGGGACCCTATGGCAAACCTCACAGCTAACAGGAATCAGAGAAACTCTGCCTCTGAGACGGGGTGAGGGGAGGATGGCTGTTCACAAGAGGGGCTGAGCCAGCGCTGGAGCAGGAGACCAAGGAGCTGCAAACCTTTCACAACTCCTCCCATTGGGTGGGAAAGGACTGCCAGGAACCTCTACGCAGAGGGCGAGGGCGCAGAGGGCGAGGGCGTGACGGTCTCCCTCCAGCTTTGCTCAGCCCTTGATATCTTCGGAGGAAGATCAAACCAGAACCAGAGTGAAAGCAACAGTCTTTCGGATCACCGATCAGATAACGTTTGGATCATCCGACTTTAGAGCAGAGAGACCTCTTGCAACTGTCGTCTCCCACAGCGGGCAGCTGGTGCACAGAAGGACCCTGTCCCCAGGGATAAAATAGTTGCCTCGGCTCCCACTGTCACTCAGGGGCCACTCTTCCTCTGTGGTCCAGACAGGAGAGGCTGGTAGGTCCACTGCAAGGGGCTACAGGGGCCAGCAGCTACTCTGCACCGGGGCGGTGGAGAGGCGGAGAGCTCTGTGCCGCCGCATGTCCAGCACGCCCTAGGCCCCGCTGACATCACAGAATGCTGGGGCCGGCACGCTCAAATTGTGACGTCAGCGGGCCAAATGGCAGGCCGACTGCAGGAGGGGAGGCGCCTCCACAGGGAGATGCAAACTGGCAGCCAGAGGGAAAGGCGAGAAGACCGTCAGCGGAGTCCTAGAGATGTACGGCCCTTGGGGTGGAACCCCTGGTGGGGACCCTCCTGTGGCAGGCGGGGCTGGGGCAGGGTGCCAGTACCGAAGTGCCCAAGGCGCTGGTCCCTCTCATTGCAGGACTGCAAAGAACCAGGCTCTCCCTGACGTGCTGAGAATACCACGTATGTACTTGGGCTTGGCTCTTCCAAGCACCAAGGAAGTAGCTGCTTCCCGAGATTAACTTCCTTCTGCCTCTCAGTCCCCACGGCCAGGATTTGCCCTGGGAACTGGGGCTGGGGCTCCCGGAACAAGGACACAGTGTGGCACCCCACGGACAGACAGCTGCTGCTTAGAGAGGGCCCCTGAAAACACCCCCAGGGCCCCCCAAGGCCCTTCAACTGGTCTTGGCTTCAGCCTGGCCTTGATCTGTCTTTGCAGGGCCTGTCCAGGACCCCATCTCAGTCCTGCAGTCCCCTGCCCAGCCCTTACGACCAGCCCAAGGCCAGCTCCTGATGAGTGACAGCAGTCTCCGCTCGTTCGAGGACCAAGTCCTCTGCCCCATTTGCCTGGAGGTGTTCTGCAACCCGGTCACTACAGCCTGTGGCCACAACTTCTGCATGACCTGCCTCCAGAGTTTCTGGGACCACCAGGCTGCCGTGGGGGAGACACTGTATTGCCCCCAGTGCCGGGAGAGCTTCCCCTCCAGGCCCCGCCTCTGCAAGAATGTAATCCTGGGGGAGATGGTGGCCTGCTTCACCCAAGCCAAGGGCCAGGCCTCCCGGCCCCTGTGGAACCTGGCCGGGCCCAGGGACGTGCCCTGCGACTTCTGCTCCCCCCAGAAGCTCAAGTCTGTCAAGTCGTGCCTGCAGTGCGCGGCCTCCCTGTGTGAGAAGCACCTGCGCAGCCACTTCGAGGACCCGGTGTTCCTGAACCACCAGCTGCTGGAGCCCGTGTGGCGGCGGCTGTACTGCCGCACCGAGGGCAGCTGCGTGTGCGGGACCTGCCTCCTGGAGGAGCACAAGAACCACGACACCACCCCGCTGGAGGAGGAGCGCGCGCGCAAGGGGGCGCGGGGGGGGGGAGGGGGGCTGGGGCGGGGTGC